GGAGGTTAAAGAGACAAAAGACCATGTCTTTGTCATCAGCGGAGGCCGAATATTGAGCCATGGCTGAACTTGTTGTGAATTATCATGGCTGTGATATTTATTAAAAGACCTAAGTGTACTACATCCAAGACTGGCCTTGCTTCATTGTGACAATAAAACGACTCTTCACATCGCTGCTAATCTGATTTTTCATGAGTGAACCAGACATATAGAAATGGACTGTCATTTCATTAGGGATAAAATAGAAGATGATTCAATTGTCACAAGATTTGTTCCTTCTTCACATCAACTTGTGGACTTACTCACGAAGGCATTGGGGAAGGAAACTTTCTCAAGGATTATTCACAGGTTTGGAATTCTCAACATTCACTCTTCAACTTGAGGGGGAGTGTTGAGAAGTCAACGATATCATCCTTGATATCTTGCTTAGTTTAGGATTCTCATTGATAAAGTCTCCTTGTATTAATAGAAGAAAATTGCTTCTGCAAAATATTCTGCACGATTCTTTATTTCTAACCCTTTCATTTAAATCAATGATCAACCTGTGAAGTCTAGTTTTATTGTTTAGCTTCCCTTGTCAAATGTTGTAAATTGTACCACACATCCTCTAGTTAGTTTTAGGGTTAAAATGCTACTTTTGGGATCATGCTGCTAGAAATAGCATTTCAAGAGCTTAACTTTTCTCATCAAAGGTTTGTTCATACATATGCATTTCATGCCATTATTTCCAGTTCATTCTGTCTAGTGGTTATGTCTAGTCAAAACTTCTCGCTGCTTACATGCCACATGGGTTTTCCGACAGCCTTTTCCTCGAGAGTGTTTTTCAACCCTAGATCTTTCTAGATTGCTTTTACACATGACACGTCGCTTTTCTGGTCCATTTCTGTCTGAACATTAAACCCTATTTATAAACATCAAGCTAGGGTTTATTTGGTTTTTAGGGCCGAGATTGGAAAAGGTTTTTAGAGCTTTATTTTCATCTCTATCTTTGAATATTTATAAATCTATCTTTGAATTCGCTTGCTTAAATCTCTTTATATGCTCATTCGTTTTGGTTAGAAGATTTTTATTTTCATAAAAGAGTTGTTTTAGATTTGAGCTATCTCTTATGTTCTTACTTGAAAATCCTAGCCACAAAATCACACTCATGCACTAAATACCCACATCATTGCATTTAGGGTAGCATTGTTTTGTGATTTTGATCTTTGTTTTTAGGTCAAGTTTTTCAAGTTTCAAATCTTCAAAATGACCTTTTTTGGGATTCGCGTCAGTTTCATTTTTCAAGTATTTGATTGGTGAAACTGACTAGACATTGAATCTAGATCTACATATCATTATCATATCATCATATGCATAGTTTGTGTGTTGGTCTCGATGCGACAAGGTGAAGAGTTCAGGAGGAGCTGCTATCTTGTGAAGACTGGAGACAACACCCTTTCGGTGCCATAAGGTGAAGAGCTTATGAGGAGCTGCCACTTCGTGAAGACCGAAGGAATCCATCTTGTGTAAGACAATGTTGCATAAAGGTAAAGCTGCTCCGTAGACTAGGTCTAGGAATTGAGATTTACATGGTACTTTTTAAGAATCTTGATTATACTAGTGGATTGGACTCATTGGAGAGTCCCCAGTTTTTTAACCCAGAGGTGGGTTTTTCAGGCTCGTCCACATATCTTATTTACTTGCATATGTTTCATGCATCCTATGAAATGTTATTTGATAAGTGTTAGAGACTAAGTTTACACTGCATATTATGAGCAATGAACTGATTTGTTGTTGACTAAGATAACTTGTAGTGAACTAAGTTGGATTCGTAGATTTGCGTTTGACTAACTGATGAATCTGTACTTAGTTGACTGGTGAGCTTGACTAGTCAATCCAGCATACTTTAATTCATAATTGCTTTGTTATTGCTGTTTGCATAATGAAGCGATATGTTTTTACAACTGCAGTTTATATAACTGACTAACTTGTAACTAGTTGACTAGTCTACTGTGCAAAGTTAATTTTTATTTGCAGGATAGTCCATCTTGTATCCAATTTCACAACCTTCAACCCTTGTTTAGAAATACATCTTCCTCAATTCCTCAATTCGGAGTTTAGATGTCACTGCTCTTTGTATATTTAATCAGAGTATTTACCCAGAAATCCTAAAATGATTAGACCAATAAAAGCCCTTTTAAATAATGAAATGAAACAATTAATGAATCAGGACAGGCCGAGCAATGTCTTTGTAGAAAGAACAAGAAGAAAAATTCATTATGCAACTAATCCTTAGTTGAGGGATTCTGATGAACTGGGAGGGGGTGGGTAGTAGGTGTGCGATGGAGATGGACTAGGGTGGGGAGTTTGTTTTCATTTCTATCTTTTAGTTTTAAATAATCTTTTTTATTTTAATATTTTGAAACATTTAAGTAGAAATTATATTTACGTTTAACAAATGGCAAGTCTTGAATGGGAGTTACTGCTACTCAACAAAGTCCAATGGTAAGCTGAGCTCAACATAAGTTTTTCTTCTGGCGGAGGCTTCTAAATTCAAAACTAATTTCTAAACTCCCCAAAATGGAAAATAAAATAATTAAAAAATAATCAAAAAATAATTTTGAAAGAGAAAGAAGCAATGTCAGTGGAAAATAATTAAGGGTGGGTTTGAGATTGTGGTGCTTTTAAGAAAAATTATTTATAAGAAAATTTGGAACATTAAATGTCTTTGGTAAAACAAAAAAAAAATGCTATTCTAAAAAACTATTGTCAAAGACAGCAGTAAAGCAGAATTAGGGTCTACCATGCTTTTAAGTTTTATAATTTTTTTTAATTTTTTTAAAGCATAGTAATCAGTGCTCATTTAATGAAATTTTCTAATGGTAAGGATACCCCAACCCCCGCATATTTTACAAAGTTATAATCTTTGCCCGTACATTATTATCTTTGACAATTATTATATACATTAAATACCATACTTTTTTAGTCAGTTAACATATTCACAACAATCTATATAAAAGTTTACCAAACACTCAAAACACTTTTTTTTTTTGTTAAAAGCACCTTTGCAAAACAATTTACCAAAAACACCTGACAATTTTATTTTACAGCTATTTATTCTTACATCATAGTAGAAACAAATCTTTTTTTTTTAAAGCATAGCAATTCCAAACTAGCCCTAAGTACTCGAAAGTGGCGAGCTGTGGGAGAAGGAAAGGGTAGTGTTTAAGGGGTGGACCAAGCCAACTTAGAGCACTTCCACCCTACTAAATTGCCTAAGCAATTACTGTCAGGCTATTGAGCAAGGCAATTATTGCCATTAGTGAACAATAACTGCCTAAAATTGTAAATTGAATAACCCAGTCAATTCGTTTTAAAATATTATTATTATTTTTTTATAAAATAATTTTATTTTAATTATGAATAAGATTTAAACCAATCTCGTCACGCCACGTGACATTATTCGAAAGTACAATATTTTTGGATAGATTTTCAACCGATTCCGTAGCGCCATGTGTCATAGTTATGTATTTTTATAATTCTTAAGTTTATTTTTTGATAATTTTTTTTAAATTTTTAACTAATTTTTAAACATTTTTTTGGGGTCAAATAATAGATTTTGTTAGATTAGCCACTAACAATGTTCAAACCCACGTTGTAATGTAATGACTCTACTCATTTCCGCCACTTGTGGTAAAGGACCACTTGCTAATTTTTATCAAACTTCATTATTATGTAGAATATAGTTAGTATTGGGAGACAAACTTGGACCTCTCTCAGACCCTGCGTAAAGCGGGAGCCTTGTGCACTGGGTACGACCTTTATTGAGAGACCAACTTGGACAACTTTTTCACTACACTTTCGCAGAATCGACCCCCCGCTTTTTCTGTACATGAATATGTGGAGCTCAGCATGTCTGGAAGCACGGAGAACGTTCTTTTGCTGATGTAGCTAGTGAACCAGCGAAAAGAAGCTGCGCACGAGCGAGCGAGAAGCCATGCGCCGGTGAGAGGACGGCCTTATACAGTACATTGTTGTGATAGCCCAAGTAAAGTTAGCTTTTGGCATTCACATTTCGAATCCTTCGAGTGACCTTCAGCTGCCATTCCACCAGCTACCTAAACCGCACCCACCCGAGTAGTCGTGACTCGTACTTAGTTTAGTTTTTGTTAGAATATTTTGTTTTTAATATATTTAAATAAATTTCTTTAAAGTTTTGATTTATGTTAGCTTTTTAGATTAATATAATTATAATTAAATACATTATTTAATTTAAATATTGTTTTAATTTCGAATTTTAAAAAAATATTTAAGGGCTCTGCTTCGACGAATATATTCCTTGAGCAAACTTTTATTGTATTTTTTTTCTTTCTTTAAAACAGTTTCCCAACGAATTATATGTTGGGCGAATTTTTTATAATATTTTATTTCCATAAACTCGACGAAACTGTGTCGTTGAGCAAGGTATATTCGTCGGACTAGGTTGGTCAACGCTCTTTTACCTGTGACTTTATTTTGTCAATTAACTATGTTCAACCAACAAATGATTATATTTCTACGGGCAAATATTTGAGCAACGGAATTTTGTTGGGCAAATTATAGGTGACGAAAAGGTATTTGGCCTAACGAGGTTTTTTCATCTGGAAATGGTTTTTTTTATTTTTCTTATAGCGAAATTGGTATTTAATCTGAATTTACTTTTGATTTTTTATACATAATGAAGTGATTTTTGGAGGGAGTACAGAATATAAATATAAGCTCTTGATAGAGAAGCTAATTATAATTATATTATTATGATAGACTCATTATGCAGGTTTGTTATCATTTAGTACTTCAAGGTTCAATGCCGATTATTATGTTCAGGAAAAGAACGTAACAGAAAAGTGTATATCAAGCTAGTGTTAATATTATGATATGGACTTCACTGCTTTGTATGATCGATAGCATTCTCTGTGAAGTCCAGGATAGAAAAGAACGTAACGGATAGAACAATCCATGCTTCAAATGCTCCAACGGATCAAGGCACAAAACCTTTTTTGAAGTAAAAAAGTCACTTAAATGATCTCAAAGCAGTGGAGAGAAACTTATAATTACTTCCGGAATATTTGAGATACAACTTGAGCTAATAGAAGGAACGAACGACGGAGTAGGGCAACAACATAATAGAAAGGTTGAGGATTATAAGAGCAATAATTGAGACTTGATGCCCCACAGAGAAAGGGGCACAATCGCCTTCGCATGACTAATGAAGCCGGTGAGTCGATGACAATGAGATGATGAACCAGAGCCACATATAGTGGCAATGTGGAAGTCACGCTCGTGTCCGAATTTTTTCCTTAACGCCACAAATGAATTGAGATAAATTTCTTTCTGATGACCCATTTACAGCCAATGCGTCCTCTAAAGTTTGCCTTACTTTCTTGATCTGTTTCTGTAATCCATCACCCGAATCTCCACACATCAGACGGTTGATCTTCTCCCCTACTTCTCCCCTTGTAACGAGTTTAACTGTATCACAAAGATTTAGTCCAATCCCCCAATCATCAACTACTAGTTTCCTATTAGTGATTTGGTCAGTCCATAGAGGAAAACACAACATGGGAACACCACACCGCATACTTTCAAGTATGGAATTCCATCCACAATGTGTTAAGAACCCTCCTATTGCTGGATGCAAAAGCACCTCAATCTGAGAGCACCATGGCACCATCAACCCTCTATCTTTAGTCTCGTCCTCAAATCCGACCGGCATGATACATGTTTCATCATAACTTGTTGTGTCCGGGCGAAGCACCCAGATGAAACTCACTTTACTAAGCAAAAGTCCATGAGCTATTTCTTCGAAATCATTTTTAGTAACTTGACCATAGCTTCCAAATGAAATGAACAAAACTGAACCATGAGGCTTAGTGTGGAGCCACTGAGTACAGTCAAACTCTGACATTAAATTGGTAGCCACCATACCCTTAGTAGGTTTATTGGAGAGAACAGGACCAATTGCATAGGTGGGTTGCTTCTCTTGCAAGGCTGAGAGGGACTCGGATTCAAGTTCTTGCACTGTATTACACAATATGAAATCTGCCCCTTTCACTTCCTCGTATGCCTTGTATATGACGCGGTGCATCGGTGTTGATATATCTGTTTCTTGCAAGTTTGACATCAAGTCCTTTGGTTCAATAGCCTTCACTCCAGGTATGTAATCGATGGTGCCCTCACGATTATCTAATAAATGAACCAAAAAAATAAAAGAGAAGTGTAATAGGACATTTTCTCTTGTTAAAACGTCAGAACAAACTATCAATTATTGAATTCTTGTTCAAATATGTGATTGTAATGTAACGGATGAAAAATAGTATGTGATCTAATTGACAGTCTAGCAACAAAACATAACATTAGGCATAGGTATACTGCAATATAAGAATTTAATACATCAAAGCGAAAGGCGATCTATGAGAAGGATATTGCATACCTTGAGAACCAAAATGACCATTTTTTATGAGGAGGTCCAAGTGATAGTAGATGTTAAAAACTAGAGCTGGTTGAGTCCAGAAAGAAATATGGACAAGATTGTACTTGTTGGCTATGGTTGCTGGCCAACAGTGGTAGGTATCAGCGATCAAGCAAGAGATTGAGGGGTCAGATTGGACTAAATCTCCAACAAGTTCATCAACATGAGCAGGGAAGACATGCAAAGAACACTCGAGAAATTGGTCGAGATTCTGAAATCGGTTGAAGGCTAATGGAAGACCATCACTCACCGTTGTGTAACGTATGTCTAGGCCGGATTCCCGCACTTTGGAGAAGATGTCATCTTGATCTCCAGAGTTGTTGTTGGGTTGTGATTTGAGTAGCTGGCGGTGAACACATTTGGTGTTGACAAAAGTGATGGTGAAACCATTTGATGCAAGCTTCATGGCTAGATTGGTGAATGGGATTACATGGCCTTGGATAGGAAGAGGCACCATGATTGCGTGAGGCTTTGACTGATTTTCCTCCATTTCTCTCTCCCTCTCTCTTTCTCTCTCTCTCTCTCTCTCTCTCTCTCTCTCTCTCTCTAACACACAAAGTTTTTGACAGCCTGTATGTACTCCATATACATATATCTATCTATGTATGTGTGTGTGTGTGTGTGTGTGTGTGTGTATATAATATGAACACGCCTGGCCACCTCCTTATTCTATTATGTAGAATATAGTTAGTAGCGAGAGACAAACTTTCATAGCTTTTTAACAAGACAAACTTAATATTCTATCACACTCTATTGTAGTGATTTACTTGTTTTTATTCTAACTATTTTTAATTAATCTAATCTAAAATACGAGAATGTGGATTCGAAAGAGGAGAGCACACTACTCTACTCAACATGACTAAGCATCTACATGAGGGTTTTTACTTTCAATTTATTTTTCAGGATCAAGTGAATGAATTGTTGGATTCCATTTAACTGATCATTTGATTCCAATGATTATATAGGATTTGAATCTGACATCAACAAACTGAAAGAAAATGACCAAAAAATCCAAAAGGAAAAAGAATCCCTAGACCCTTACGAATTTTGCTTTGAAAATTGGAGAAAACCAAGGCCTGCAAATATTGCAAGTAACCGTTATGCATTGAAAATTGTTAAATATGAACATGTACATAAGAGAAATCATGATAACCTGTTGCAATATGTTATGAACACAAAGGAACAGTAAATAAAACAAGTGATCAGATGTCTAAAGAAACAGAGACATACCAACCTAGCCAAATAAGAGACAGTAAAGATCTTCTATGTATGATGATTCGTATAGAAAAAATTGCTCATATTTCTCGTAGTAAACATTAAGTGTTAGATTAATATGTTGTAATGTTGTAAATTTGGCAGCATAACGAATAGAGAGAAGAAAATCATGAACCGCGTCCGCTCTGATATCTGGATGATTCTTCTGTTAGATGAAACACAAACCAAGAAAAAGTAATATGAATTACTGTGATCAAACACAAACTGATGTTCATTAAACTAATGTACGGAGAATATCATACCTGCAGATGAACTCGAAGAAGCAGCCATGTCCAAGTTTCGATGTAAGGTTGCAGTGCACCGTCTCCTCTCTCCAGTAATCGGTTTTGCTATTAACTAATAATAGGTCTTAGTTCGTAATCAAGCATATCAACTGTGAGAGCAGAGGCCACTGTATATATACACAACATAATCCTTGCCAAATCCCATAAGGATTCCCCTATTAGAATCCTCATAGGAAACTAATCCCTTAAATAGTAGTCCAGTGTAATATGGATTACAAAATCCATTCCCAATAAGACTTCTCATTCAATCTCAAGACCAATAACTAAGTTCACGGATTCATACTTACGCTCATATTCTTACATTCTCCCACTTGAGCAAGTATGAACCAAGTAGACTAGTTCTATCAAGATTTACCATAAGGTGATCACCAAGCCTTTTGAGTAACATCATAAACAATCTATCTATACATCTCAAAACATAGAATCAAAAGCTTACAATCACAACCAACATGTAACTGATGCCCTCAAATTACTTATGTTCAATCTGCACTTATAACATTATGATCAAACTGACATCAGTAGACCTAAATATCCACTCCCACTATTCCTCAACTTAATTCGAAACAATTAAGTCTAACAGATAGTAAAACTATCAACTAGTAATTCATTCCAATATAATGAATTACCAATATATGAATTCAACCAACTGCTCAAGTCAAATCACAAAGATTCTCAAAACATCAAATTGAATCCAAAACACACACATTTATATATATATATCAGACCAATCAATTGTTAGAAACCAATCAAATGTCACTGATACAATATATATATATAATTTGCACAGTTTATTTCAAATGAGAAATTCAACAACAAATACAATAAATATCAAAATACAAACACTTAAGTAAATTGCATATAAAATCACAAATCACTGACTTGATCTTGAAGATAGAGGCTTGCAAATGTAATCACCTAAGACAGAAATTCGCCCCTACACCCGTGCAGTAGTTCAATGGACGTCTATCTTGCAGGATACAACTATCTAATCCAAGTTCTTGCACTCGAACTTGGATTTTTGGCGAATTGGTTGTGTGTTTTTCTGTGTAAGATGAAAAAGAAGCATTGGAAATTCAATGTTAAGTTTCTAATCTTATTGCCATATCTATAATGGCATAACTTGAACAGACATAACTGTTCATTCTTATCAGTTATAAAACGGAGATAACTGTTCAATCAGTTTTATCCTTTCAGAAAAAACTGAATCCAAAAAATCAAAAACGTAACTTGTGTTTTCGTCAATCCGAGCCCAAGAGCCCCAATGACACACCCCGACTCTAAAATCAAGGTGTGCTAGCCATCACGTGGGCGTGACGTAACCAAAAGTGAGATGCGGAAGCAAAAAGGTAAAAGAAATACAAAGGAATAAAAACCAACTACCAGCAATAAATCCAACTAACATACTAGAGTGAGTTTAAGTATGAAACACACATAATCAGAGCATAAGTACTAAGTGCAGTCAAGTAGGACCATTACTAAATTACAACACCCAAAGGTGAGTCATACATTTAAGTAGTCTGTCAGAACGCCTTGGAAATCCTCGTGAGCCACCAACACTGCTAACTAGAACGTGGAGGGGCGCAAAACAAGATTAAGTGGGTCAGTAAAACAAAGTTTTTCGAAAATATTTCATTTAATAACACTTCTAACCCCTCGCTGTAAAACCTATATACTTTCCCAGAAAAATAATATATATATATATATATATATATATATATATAATCATATATAATAGCAAATAACTCAAATCACAATTCTTTAACACTTTTCAGGAAAATATGCCATGCTATGCTTCAAAACATATTAAGGATGCATCAATATAACAGATGAAATAATGAATCAACCGGAGAGCCTGCAGTTGTCCTGTACGGTTAATTCTATAGCTCAATATCCACACCAACCAGAGTCACCAACTATGACCTGTACGGCGCTACTCTGCACATAAATCGGAACTACCTGAAGTAGTCTATACGACGAGAATGGTGTAAGAATACGCTCTAGTGCTTCTCTCATCAACAGCTGTATAATAATCTAAAATCACATACAAGTCGAACCACCTCTAATGGTCTGTACGACATGTTAAAACCACCTCTAGTGGTCTGTACGACATGCACCTACTTGGATCCAAGGTGAGCGTGTCGTGCGGGGTGAATAATATAAGCACTAACACCAGGGGTGCAGGTTATGAGCTCTCAACACAATTCACATCATCAATAAATCACATGAACAACATAAAACTCACCTGATACTGACCTGTGCGTCCACAGCACCATTTCATATATATGCATCAAATACTAATTCATATATTTCATATATTATGCATGCATGGCATTTTAAAACATACTTTCATTTAAATTCAATTTCTGGGAAAAATCAGTAGTATATAGGTATAAACAGAAAATAACTACCCCACTCACTAGTAATTGTCGAAGGGTCGTAACCCTCGTGGCGCCTTTGAATGCACTCGTCCTCGTGATAGGTCTCACCTATATGCGAAACAACTATAAAAACATTATTTTAAAGCACAAAACCAACAATACGTAATAACTTCTCATACGATGCTCAATTTGGGTATATGAATATACCACAGTGACCTACTCGACGTCACGGACGTCGAGATATTTCTAGAAAAATTTTCCAACGCCGCATGCGCATCATCCCCTACCTCCAGACGCTGGAAAATCTCATCGGCACAGGAAAACTGGGTAACCTGTAAATGCTCTTTTCTCACTTGATTTCGCACCATTTTTCACGAAATTTTCACCAAAATGTCACAAATCACGAGAGGAAGAAGGTTATACCTTTTAAAACTTCCAAATCCTTCGAAAACTTGTCGGGATAATTTCACCAAAACCGGCCACCTTTAAACTAGGGCTTCCCGACGTCCAAAACTTTCAAACGAACGTCCCCGAGCTTTGTGGGAACCTCTTTAAGCTCACTGTGAGCTTGAATTTCCCTGAAACACAATGTTTTACGTGTGCATGAACAGTGCACATTTTCGGGGTTAGGGTTTCACGATGATTTCGAAGGCCTTAAGTTCCAAAATTAGTATGTTTGAACTCAGGGACTCAAGATGAGTTCGATTCTTACCTTAGAACATTCAATATGTGAAGAAATGGCGTAGAACAAGCTTGTCCGTACGTGCACAGTGACAAGGTGCAGAAAAAACGAGAGAGGGAAGGGAGAGAAAGTCCATGAGAGAGAGAGAGAAGGCAGGTTTGAGTGTGTGTAGTCCACATTAATCCCTAACCACACAATTGAAAACATAACCTAAGTTCCAAATTAAATTTTCCACAAACTTAGGAAGGACAATATTAACCAAATGTATAAGTCACACACACACCTTAGAAATCTTTAGGTACAATTCCGCCTTTTCACATCAACGATAATGAAATTTCGGGACGGGCTGTGACAATCTACCCTCCTTATAGAATTTCGTCCTCAAAATTCATACAACCAATCAATCCACTAATACTCATAAAACAACCTTGGATACATCTCTCTCATTTGATCTTCTGTCTCCCATGTAGCTTCTTCTACTGAGTGGTTCCTCCACAATACTTTTACCAAGCTCACGGTCTTATTCCTTAGAACCTTATCTTTCCAATCTAAGATAGTCACTGGTTCCTCATCATACGTCAAATCCGGATTAATCTCCAAAGGTTGAGGAGGAATCACATGTGAAGGATTTGAAACATAATGTCGAAGCATCGAGACATGAAACACATTATGTACCTTAGATAACTCCGGAGGCAACTCCAATCTGTAAGCAACTTCACCAATCCTTTCAGTGATCTCATAAGGTCCTATATACCTAAGACTTAGCTTGCCTTTCTTTCCAAACCGCACTACACCTCTCCAAGGTGACAATTTCAAGAATACCAAATTACCCACATCATATACTCGATCAGTGGCATGTCTATCTGCTAAACTCTTTTGTCGATCCTGGGTCGCTTTTAGGTTAGACTTAATCACCTGAACATTTTGAGTAGTCTCATCCACAATCTCTGGGCCCTCT